GACTGCTCCTACACCAGGATTTCGAACACGAGCTAAATACTTTTCCGTACATGCTGTGGTAACTACCGATGGATCTCCTGATACGTTATTATGGAGGTCTTTCAGCGGATCGGAAGAAGCTACTGGTATGGATACATTAGTTGAAGAAGAGCATTCGTGATAAGTAAACTGAGGAGCACGCTCTTCTAGAGAGTTCTGCTTAGAAAGGGGTCGCGTGTTTGTATCGAAAAAGACAGAAGCGGTGATATGCTTCGTTCCACTTTGCTTCGTAGGCGACACCCCGTTTTCCTTTTCTTCAACCTCAACACACGTTGGCATTTCAGAAGCGTCATCATTTCTTCCGTCTCGTACATGATTATTTGATTGCGCGGAGGTCAAAACATCATCGACTAGGCCATGTGCCACCCTCATAAGGTCTTCCTCCGTAGACACCGTATGGTCAGACTGCACCGTCATTGCAATTTTTTCCGGTTTGAGGTTTTCATTTGGAGTTCCTGCGGTACAGCTAAAAAGTGTTTTGAAAAAGATTTCAAACTATATCCATTTATTGCTAAGGCAACCAACTTCCTAACTGAAAAATGAACGTACGTGCAAAGGTAGTCGGGAGATTGGCAAGTTTAAAAAAGTCGACTGCCTTCCTCATAGCCAGACTGAAGTTTGGTCCGGTGAAATACTACGAAACAATAAGAAACTGCTGTGTATTAATAAGGGGTCATCAGCAGTCATCTTAACCTATTCACACTTTACTCAGATTCAGCACAATTTCTTCTGAATAAATATCGTTGCCAGTTTTTCAGCGCAAAAAGGGTACGTTGACTCTGAAAATATATCGTATAGAACCTTGCGTAGATATGTGAGTAATCCACGATGTCAGTGAATAATTTTTAGTAAATTTATGCAGCAAACCACTACATCTACTTACAAATTTGGTGTCTTTCGGAGAGGGCCTGCGCCTGACGGAGAAATTGGTCGTGAACCCTTAGTGGACTTTCTTGGCCCCGGGATCCTGTATCTACAAGCTGACTTAGGATCTTCAAGTCTATGCTCTTTTCGGACAGATAGTCAGAAGCCTCCACAGACCACATTCAGTATTTTGAAGAGTAACGATAGTAAAAATTATCGCAATCTCACTTTTGCGGAAATTACTAGTTGGATTGCCAAATCTGTGATGACCGGAGGAGCACTGGAGAGTGTGTAGATGTTTTTTGATAAAGCATCAGTTGTCACTAAGACCGTTTGCCTGGGGTTCGACCATTCAGAAGGTTCTGCAACTGACTGCAGAATAAATAGTTCGTCCCGCACAAAACGAACGAAACATCATTGCCCGGATTTCCACTGATGTGTACGCTGGTCATTCCTAAGTCCTCTAACCTAGCTCGTGTTAACATATCCGATTTGCGGAAGCAAACTCACCGAAAAGGGTAGTATTAGCTCTGTGAAATAACAAATCCCGAGGATAAAGTCTGTAGGTCCTTTGGCGCCTACTGGTGTAGTGCAAGAGCTATGACCGATTGTTGTCTCTCTATAATAGACAGACATCCTGTCAGAGAAACCCCTGAAGGAAGCACGCGTGCTTCCTGGAATTCGTAGCTCAGGACATTCCATTCACGTACGTTTATCCAATTCTATTTTCAAACCTGGCACTTTTGTTTGGCACATTCTCGAAATATACAAAACCGAAAACGTGCATGATCCTGCTATCAGTGATATTACTTGACGTGTGAATGCTAAACTCACATTAAGCCAACATAGGCTCTTGTTGACAAGTTGGATTTGTCAAAATTTTTAAACCTACCGTGAAGTCATTAAATTCGGTTGTTCATTTCTTTTTTGCTTATTTAAGGAAACCAGCTGCTGTTTTCGTGCGTATGACCACATAAGTAAATAAGTAAGTAAATGACACTAGCAAGAACGACGGTGGGAATAACGGGAATACTAATAAATAACGAATAAAACACCGGTTGTTGTAATTTTAGAAGATAGAAGGTACTAGCACCATCAGAAGTGTATAAAACATCGGGCTTTCTGAGCAGTTTGACCCAACTCCTTCTGATATCAGTAGTTGTCATTTGTTTTCCAATGGGTCGCATTCGCTGTTCAGGTTAGGGGGAAGAGACTTTGTTTGATACGTTGAGTGTTGTTGTTACTGAACACTTCTGATGGTTGTTTCTATTTTTCAACCTGGTTTAGAGGTTGATTTTCCAATTTTCATCTTATTGTGTATTGGAGATCATCTTAGTCTGTTGAAAAGTTCCAGCAAAAATGAAGACAACCTTTAGCGAAATACACTCATTTGCAAACTAATCTTGTTTTTTCGATAGACTTAACTAGAACCCAGCTGACTCTCTCGTTTGTGATGTTTTCAGGCAACTGAATATGCTGCACCAGGCCGCCTCATGTTTCAGTCGCTACAATATTGAGATATCGCGATACATGTGTATTTGTAATGCACTATTCATAAAAAGGGCGAAACCGGTCGTGGGCTGTCGACGAATTTTCAGCAACCTTATGAGTAGTGCGATGACAGCCTTTATTTTGGTCATACTAAGGAAAAGTTTACAAGCCGCAAGGATGGATTTTATTCAGTACAAGTGCATTTATTTGGCTTACTTTCTGGTTTGCTTTGGAGATGGGAAGAATACGTGGCCCATCGTAGCTTGATGACTGTATGTTGCTCCAGAGTTGTTCGTATAGTGGGTGAATACTAACACAGCTGTTGCACAGTACCCCGTGGTACTCTTAGACTATGAAACGAACCCCTAAGTATTTGCTATCTGGGTGTTTAAGACGATTCACACAATACTTAAGGGATATCTTTGTATTCTTACTATGTATACCTTTATGGAACCAGAACTCGGAGGGCCTGACTCATAAATCCCCCTATATTATATTGACACCATTACCTGTGCCATCTCCAGCATCAGAGGGGAATTCCAAAACAACGATTCGTATGCATAATTACGCTGCGCTTTATCAGGAGCTTGCTCCAGTCAATACCTCTCAGACAAATTTAAAATGATCCAGGTGTTTTTATTATGAATCTTTTTACTTCAAAGTTCGGTGCTTCCGTGGTTTCTTTCTGTATCGAAGCTGACGGCATAGTCTCTCTGCGTCTCCTCTAAAGGCAGCACATCGGTATTTTTGGCCAAAAACAGGCAGTCTAACAGTCACTTTATTGTACTGGTCTGCTAAAACAGTTGTGAAAGATTCTTATATACTTATATTTCAAATACAACGGTAGTTTGTCATTCTAACTTCATATTATTACCCTTGTTCCCTTGGACAAAATGGCATGAACCACTGTTAAAAGCTCGAGAGCAAACTGTGCAGTTATATTACTCATTCCAGAAAAAAAGCGCTGCTAAATAGACGACGCAAGTGGCTATTATAAATAACTACTTACGGTGCGAACAATTTAGCATGGGATCATTATGGTAGTTCTTAATTTGTAAAACGTTTTGACTGATGTGCTTTGATGTTGTCGTCTGTCTAATCACTAGAACAGGTCGGATAACTATGTTAAGCATACACAGCATCCATATGATTTACATTTTCAGATTTTGTAAATATTCTCAAAAGCGAAAGCCACATAGTACTGCTAACCAGATGTCTGCATCCGTCTCAAAGACATTAAGTTACCTTTGTGATTAATTCAAGCCATTCGTCTCTCTACTTTTGCAAAAAGTGGTAGACGGTGTCGGCACCAACGGTTCGGTAAGTACTCATAGCTCAATACCAACAACCCCCCAGCTTCCAAATTAGCCAGTAAGCTGCTTGTCTGAAATGCAATAGTTATTCGGTCCTTTAAGTAATTATCTCTCAAGTTTTGGCATACTGAAATTTGAGGAATTCTTCGTGGTGCTGGAGAAGTGGGTTGCTGGGGCTGCTCAAAACAGCTCCAAAAGTCGTCATCACCGTCACTGACAGCAAAACACCAGTAGCGCACATCGAAGACCATCTGTCACAATATGAAGATACTACAAACACGTGGCTCAGTACGAGTTCGTATCAAAGTATAAAGTCGTACTGCAGAGAGTCGATGTTTGCAGATATCCACTTGAGCAACAAAGCCACGAATCGTAAATCCAACGCTTAACTATCCAGAAGCTTCAGAATCCCTCGAATATAGTATTCTGGGGTGTCTAGATAGAGGAGACGCCTTAAGCTCAACAAGTTTACTTGGATCACGCAGTCAAGTTTCGGAGATGCAGTTGACGCCACCTGACATAGTATCTATGGTAGGTGCGAGAGTAGCATGTTCGCCGACCTGCTTAAGAGTTTTCACCTTAAAGGCTGCAATAAAAACAGGGCAGCAGTGTTAAGGTAGCGAGCGCGCAGTAGTAGTTCTGCGCAACGTCGCGCACAGTTTCAATCAAACAGTTGATAAAACGAAATATCTACAGCCGGGAGCTACATACATACTACTAACTGTGGACTGAAATTGGATAGTAGTTCGATAATGGCAACAGTGGAAAACGATGAGTGCCAGCATTTTTATGTTCTTCCTTATCCATCTAGTCACGTGGAGACGATGTTACTACATGACAGCCTACACTTTGTAAAGATTATTTCACACGTAAACTTTATTGTTGCATGTAATTTGAGTTACTGGTGGAGCGTTCGAACCTGGATAGGAGGACGATTAAGATCTGCATTTAAAAGATTTGGCTCAAAAGCCTGGCCATCAGTCAGTTATCGTCGGCTAGATGCAATTCTAGTAGCCCAAATTTTAACAAAAATGGCAACCTTTCCTTTATTCCTAAATTTGAAAGCCAGAAGACTGTTTTCGGACCCTGGTAGGAGGAACGCTGTGGACGTTGCAAAATCATCCTTCAGTACAGCTCAGTGTGTCACTGAAGTAGGCAAAACGTCTTCTCAGGATGAAAACAAAAGGTAATCAATCGACGATCCAAAATGTGGACAAGAACCCCGTAAACAACCCTCTTTTATATCCGTAGAAGGTGATGTGCTTGACAAATTATTACTGTGATCGACACTGGTTATCGTCACTGAGCGCTCCAGTTGGTAGACGCTGCCAGCTATGATTTTGCCCCAGGGAAAATTTTTGTCAGGTGTAGATGACAAACATTCTGCCTTTCCAGTCTTAAAAGACAACAACTATTCGTAAAGGTATCTAGTGAGGTTGACTGCTCTCAAGGTTATAAGTTACGAGGGCGCCAGATTTTAAAATTCGGACTAACGAACAAGAACCATTATTTTATGCGAGTTTTCATTATTGTAGACAGCACGACACCAGTGTTCAACACCGATGCTTCACTTTTGTACATCCATTAAGTGGATACGCGGACCATCTAGTTGATTCCATATTGCGCTGCGGTGCCGCAAAATGGAGTTAGTTATAAAAGGCCCTGTATGATCCACAAACTGGTACAATCTAACTCGCATAGATCAGTAAAAGTATTGAATGAGATAAATATAGTGTAAAAAGCAGAAAATTTATCGTGAAATCTGATTTTTTAAGTCTTCTGACTGGATGTTGGTGCCTAGAGATTGCCATGAGTGAAGCAGAACCGATTTACGAAATAGCGGAGTTTCCTATCCGGCTACTACAGAATAAAATGTTTGGTGATCAGTGTCACCTTTTTCGTGTTATATCTTACATAGGTGACTCTAAAATGACTTTGTGAATGACGATGATAAAAATGCCCTAAGAGTGATTACCCGTAGTTAAGGGTACAAAAGTGTAACAATTTCTATTATCCTCTTCCACAGATCATGTAACATGGATTAAGAAAGGCGAACTTTCAGCCACGGACAAGTTTGTTTAACCCACCGGATTAGTCTAACTGCGTTTCAGCCATCCGGTTTAAACCAAAATGGCGTGCACTTTGTGAGGCCTGATGTAAGCAGTTAGCAGTGTGGTGACGACTATAGCGTCTAAAAATTCAAACGTACTCCAAAGGATGACAGGTAACTTTGAGCAGTGCTAGTAGCTTTGGTGCATTGGGCTAAGCCACCTAGGTCCTCTTAAATAAAGATTCCTGGTTTGATTGCGGAACACGCGCTCGACACGGAACACAAAATAGGTTTAGAAAATGTTGAGGTTTTGAGGCGACGACTACGGTCCACGCCACACAGACTGATCGCCGAGGCAGTAGAAATTGCCAAGCACCCCAGTGTTTATACAATAGGTGTGGAACTGGCAAGCGTGTGGAGGACGGTTTTGGATCAGTCGAGCTGACACGTGTTGGTGTGGGGTCACCAGAAGGAAGAGTGGTCATCGTCTGAAGTTCACTTGACTTCAGCCCCCTCAAATCAAACTGTCGGAGCACTCACGACCCCACAAAGACCAGGAAAAATCAACCAGTGGCAACCGAGGTGAATCACTAACTGAAGAACTCTGAAGCGGAAGATTAATGAACCAAACCCGGTCAGAATTAATTTGACCCCCCCCCCAATCCACCAAGCAAGATTTTGACAACTTCGCTAACCGACAAGAGCCATTAATTGACACTCAGCACGGATCTAGTGTAAAAATCCGAAGAGGATTGACTTGCCGATTGGTTCCCCGTCTGCCTTATAACCTGGCCAATTTGATGACCTGCTTACTTGGCCTGATGTAGCTTTTGTGTCAAAAGCGAAACGTTGCCCAAATAAAAACTACCGATTGTTTATCAAGCCCTTCTAAAACAATTTCTGGTTTGCTTTTCAACGACAACAGTTGTCGGGAGGTGTCACTTATTGAAACAATTTCAAGAGGTTTGTTACTTGCTGGGAAGGATGTGTTATGCTCACCATTAAAAAGCAATCAAGCCATGGATATGCCACTTTAAGTTCTTTTAAACTGCAGGGGTACACCCAGATACACCTCTAAATACTGATATATTCATCAAATGAACTAGCTTACAATGACAAGCTGCCAAGTAAACGAATTATAAAGGACAGGCAAATTACTGGATGCAACACCGAGCTTAATGGAGCGCTACAAAAGTCGGCCTTGGAGTTGGACGCTACAATACTTCCTGGAGTAGTCAGTGGTCTCGGGATATTGGACTGTTTTACATTCATCGCGCTCGTGGGTCCAAAACCTTTCGCGTGATTAGTTTTGTCACCTGAAGTGAGGTGATGCACATAATTCAAGGTCTGGTAGAAGTTCTAGTAAATTATATCTACTTAAATCCTGTTGCTCAAGTCTTCTTTCCAGTTGCCTATGATGAACCCTCGGTTTGTGATTCCAAACCTTATCCAACCAAACCAGTGCCACTCCGGAAGCAGCATTTTCTGAAAAATGTCACCTGGTGGATTATCCCCGAAAGTTTGTCCTCAAGGGCGAAATCAAGTCATTAGTAAAGGACTGTTAGAGTCGCCCAAGAAAGGCAGGCTGGCTGCAATCCAAATGGTAGGCAACAGGAGATTTTCCTAAAAAATGAAGTCATCTATCCTTTTCATGCAAGAGCAAGGATGCAGAAGAGATTAGCTGTTAACTGTAGGAAATGATGGTGCCAAACCCCAAACTTCAGCTTATTTTGGCAGTAAAGAACGACTGAATCTCAATCCACTTTGCTCCCACGTCTTAAGAGTAACGGTTCTGGTCTTATGGTTCATAAATCCAGTACGTCAAAAATCCGCCACGCTTCTGAAATTGCTTTGAGGTTTCAGTCTAAGGCAGGATATGGGTTTACAACTAAGAAGGAGAATACGTGGATACTGTTACGGAGCTATCGTGGAACAGGGACCCCCAATGTAACCTGTTTTCCCTAGACCGGTGTAGGTAATGCAGAGGAATTTTTGTCATGAATTTGTTTTCAAAATATTTCAAGAAGAAAGTGCCACAATGCAGCGTCTTCTTGGGCTTAAAAGTTTTTGGTATACACGCACGATGTTATTGGGCAAAAGCGTGTTCTCTGTGGACTGTACCGGCACAACTACATGTCAATCCAGTTTGGGACACCAGGTGGATGGATGGTAGGGTGACCTTCAGGATTCACGACTCGGTGCCTCTGAATTTGCTCGCAATGAGGACGGAGCGTCAATGGCTAATAAGCTGGTGATTTTAAGGGGCTACGGGAAGTACTAAGCTATCCGGTGTGGGACGGTCAGTTGCGGTATCTGGACATCGCCACGCTGTTACTGGCGAATTTAGTACAGTGTGCTTTTCAGCGCGTTTAATCCTTATCTTCATAGAATGCGTCAACATGTACGATGTGCAGAAGTTTGGCGTAAAGTACAGGCGGCCAGCAACACAACTTTCACGTCATTTATGCTGTTAAAACTGACTTCCACAAGACACGGTACGTTATCATGGTCTTGAGCTTCTCACTAATACCCACAACTGAAGGGTTTGCATTCCAGTTCAAATAATCTTATGATTTTCTGGCTAACAAGGACGGAACAGCGAGTTCTAGCAAGTCAATGCCATCGAGTTAAAGTTGCAGCTGGCGTTTGTGGGTTTGATATTGAAACAGTAGGGGATTCTGCAGCTTCATTGTTCCATGGTACCGTAATGTTCGACAAAGTGCTTTTTGATCAAGCGAACTGGGTGCAGACTTCGCCGAGATGTTGACTGGGCCTAGCGTAACCAGGCTTTTAGGGTCGAGTTTATTAGGAATCTCAGAGCTTAAGATCACTTCGGATGAACTTCGGTGGTAGTACGAGTGATAGACTGGTACTGGGTTTGGGAGAGGAGCAGACTTTCTAACTTCGTTCAGGCCAGGGTTGGACGGTGGTTTGTCCTTGCCGCATACTGGACTGGAACCGGTGCTTAAGTTTTCAGCAGCGGCTCACTTCCATAGTCTCTCAAAAATGCTTGAGGTCGTAGGAAATTTCGTGGTGCTGTGTTTGAAACAGACGGAGGGGAAACAATTGTGGCAATCTCAACGTTCTGTTCATTCCAATACAGAATAACCACAAAATAAAGCGCCAAAACTGTGTCTTGTTACTGCAGAACAATTTTTGAATAGGCGGTTTCTCCGAGTACCTCGTTTTGGTTGTCATCATTGTGCACAATAATTGGGTATCATGTGCCCTCTGTTGTACGACTGTGTAACCGTGCAACAAGGTATAGAATTGTGGTATAATTAATCAGTAAAGAGCATCTGAGGCGTTCGACCACTTGACTTGTTGGTGGTACCATCCTCCCTGAATTCCTTCGGGTCGTGTACATTCATGCGTTTGCCATTTGCGCTCATAATGTCGAAATAATCCACGACAATGCACGGCAGCTTCCTTGTTTTTTCCCAAGCGACCTTTATTCAGCTCTAGCTAGTTCTCGTTGGGCTACGATAAAGCGCAACGGTTTAAAATTTAGCTCATATGTGTGGCTTTAATTTGCCACTGGGAATTCAGGTCAAGCTGTCTGACCATACGTAACACGCTCACATTATAAGCTCCGAGCAGGGGTGGCTGAAAGAAACACGCACGACTCGTTAGAAGCACATCAACCCAAAACAACAGAATAGCTCAAAATGCACATATTTGCGAATCTGACTAACGCGGTGTTAGTGGGTCAGCGTAGCTAGCGCTACAGTTATTTATTTTAACACAACAGTTCGAACGACTCCCAATGCAGTGCAACATTGTAGGGATAGGTGAACCTATCCTTCTCTACCCTCCTCATTTTTACCACCAGGTAAACTTCTTTTGAGCTTCCATTCAGTTACCGAAGCTGCCGCTGGTGGTGATGACAACTTTACGGTATTTAGCAGTAGGGCCATAGGGTGGAATATGTGCCGCCTTTTCGCATTGTCTGTGATCAAAACTACGTGGATGTTATATGATGCATACATAATTCCTGGGAGCTCTTCAAACAGCAAAGTTGCACAACAAGACGTTGCCGTCAAACACTACACACCCTGTCAGCATTTACGGATTCACGGATTCACGGATTGATACACAGGATCGAGGCTTTTGCCCAAGATTCCCGGGTCGGTTTTGTTCTTGTCGGTCAGTGGCTGTCGTTCACCTGAAAGGCACAAGTGAAAAAGGGTGTAGCACTGCTCCTTATGTTCTCAGCGCGGGGCACTACGCTTGCCAGCGCGAGGATTCGCATAAATAAATGTCTAACAGTGTTTAAACTGGGTTCTAGAAGGAGTGTGGACAACCGTCAGAGAAAGGTCATTCCACGCAGCTACTATCCGAAATGAGAAAACATTTTGTCTGATGAATGTGTGTGCTTTGAGCTTGAAAATTTTCTTACTATATCCTCGCCGTGTGTTTGCTGGGTGAACGGTGAAAAACCTGTTTGCCAAGCTTTGTTCAAACAGGGCATAGGTAAGAATTAGGGAGGAAGGTCATTCCACGCAGCTACTACGCGAAATGAGAAAAAATTTTGTCTAATGAATGTGTGTGCTCTGAGCTTGAAAATTTTCTTTCCATGTCCTCGCCGTGTGTTTTCTGGGTCAACGGTGAAAAACCTGTTTGCCAAGCTTTGTTCAAACAGGGCATAGGTAAGAATTAGGTCCCCTCGGAGGCGACGGTACTCCAGGGGAAAGAGATCAAGCATCGCGAGACGCGTTTCGCAATCCACGGATTTGAGGCCGGTAACCATTCTGGTAGCGGCCCTCTGGACACGCTCAATGGGGGTGAAGTCTTTCGTGCGCCCTGAGTAGACAACTCGGTTGGCGTACTCCAGGAGCGGTCTGACGCAGGCCCTATAGAACGTTTGGAAGTCCGTGCGAATAATACGGGAGAAGGTGTGTCGGACCATCCGTAAAATGGCGAATGCCCTTCGGGCCGATTTTTCACAGTGCAGTGCGAAGGATAAGTTTGAGGAGACCCAAATGCCCAAATGTTTTTGGCATCCATCCTCGTGATTTTTCCGGTCCCTTTTCACAATGCATAACAAAGGCATTCACTGAATACCCCCCCAAACGACGTATGGACGCACTTTTCATCATTCGGAGGAAGGTGCCAGTCCAACGACCACTGCTCGGAAGCGTCTACATCCAACTGGAGGACACTGGCATTGGAACCCAGGATTCCAAGTCGTCCGCAAAAAGTAAACATGGGCTCGCAAGAACGTCTGGGAGGTCGTTGACGTAGGTCAGAAACAGGAGTGGTCCTTGAGTCCTGTAAGACTCGAGTTCGTGGAGCAGCGGGACCTGTGGGTCCCTATCAAATGCTTTTGATAAGTCGAAAAATACGGCATCCGTTATGGTTCCTTCGTCCTTGACGTGGGTTTAGCTGTCCATAAACACGAGCATGCTTGTCACGCAAGAACGATTTGGGAGAAATCCGTGTTGAGCTGGAGATATCAGATTGCTGGACGTAAGGTGATCTAGGATAGCCCGCTTCAGAGTGCGTTCCATCACCTTGCACGGCGCGCTAGCGAGGCTTATAGGCCTGTAGCAGCCAGGCGATAGTCAGTCACGAGTTTTGTAGATTGGCGTGACAATCGTTTCTTTCTAAGCAGAGGGAAGGCGGCCTTCGTCAAGCGACTGACGAAACACCAGGTGTAAATGAGTTGCCAGTGTGGAGGATGTTTCCTTCAGGATCCTTGGATGGACCTCGTCGGGCCCCAACGCGCAGAATGGGTTGATCTTTTGCAAGAGTTGAATGTCCTCCAACGCGAATACCAAGTCGGTTAGGGGCTGTTCGTAGTTTCTCCTTGACAAGAGTGGATGTGACGAGGACGCTGGGGCTGAGTATAGACACGCATAGTGTTCTCTGTAAGCCTCAGATACCACTGTTGGGCCATTTGTCGGTTCTCCGTTTCTGTTCCTCAAGGAGAACGTGGATAGCTAGTTTCTGCGGCGGTATCTCATGTACTTGAACAGTACGTACGAGCGAGGTCCAGAATGGTGGCTTGTTTTCGTATGTTCCATTGGCGGATTTCCGGCATTTTACGAAATTCCAGCTTATCCTCTGCATCCCCTGTAACCAACTTCTTGACAATGGGTTACGATCTATTTTCCACAAGCCGCCGAATACTTTTTGGCATCCTGCGGTTCATCCGATTGTGTGCCGGTTTTTTTGGAACGAACGTCGCGTCAGCCTCCTGAACAATCTGGACAATGGTGCTGTATATTTCTTCCACCGGAGCTGGTCCCAGTGTGACCTGTTCAAGGTAGATTCTCATTCCTGAGAAGTCTGCACGGTAGAAGTCTCGAAACCACGTTTGGGGTTTGGGATTTCTGGCCCAATAGCAGATGAAATCAAAGGTCAGCACACAGTGGTCGCTATGTCCCAGTGAAGCGTTAATTGTTACCTGATCAACGAAGTGCCCTTCGTTGGTGATGACCAAATACAGGAGGAATGGTAGTTGGCCTGCGCAGTATCTGGTGGGTGCACCGACAAGCGCTCCGTTGAGCGACTTCTAACAGCGCCGCTGCAAAAAGTCCGCCTGATTCGACGTGCTGGAGCTCAATCCAGGAGGCCATTGGGGCGTTGAAGTCGCCTACCAGCATGAGATGAGTGAAGTGGTAGTTGGAGGAGAGCTGCGCAAGGGTCTGTATGAGGAACTGGTCATCTTCAGAAGGACTCGAAGGACTACGGTAGACCACGCCGGGAAGGAGAGAATCGGACCCGCGCAGCGGGATTTGGACCCACAGTGCATCGCAAAAGGGTAGAGGGGTGGTGTCAGAGAGGATAATGGGGATTGGTAAGGCCGCATTTAAGTACAGAGCAACCCCACCAGCCCTCCCTCGTTTTGAATCATTTCGAAAAATAGGGTAACCGTCTATCGAGATCTCCGCGTCAGAGACATCTGGTGTGAGCCAGGTCTCTGTGAGTGCGATTATGGACGGTTGTTCAAGACAAGCTGACTGTTTAACATCGCCGAGTTTGTTGAAAAGGCTGAGGCAGTTTGTGGACAAGCATTACAACACTGTCTCCGGTGCCCCCGAGAGTGAGGAGCCGAAAGTTGAGTGACCAGGGTGGTTAACAGACTTAACAGTTGTGCACCGGGTCTGAGTTTGAGTCCAAGGCTCCAAAGGGACCTCTGGGGCGATGTTGTCTGCTTGCTGTCTTCGTAGTTTCTGGGGTTGCTTTTCGCCTGCGAGGATTTCTCGTTCCGTGGGAGCTCGGTTTGCTCGGGCATTTTGGCTTTGGGGGACGAAGTTTTTCCCCCATCGGCGAAAAGTTCCAGCGATGCTGTTTGTAGCTCTCTCAGCACCCACTTTTCGTCGACCAGATTTGCAGTTGGTCAAAGGTTTGCTGCGAGTTTTCGCCTTTCTGGATCCTTAGGTGTTTTGGCGCGGTTTGACCGCAAAAGTGCTTCTGTGAGGCGCTGAGCGCTGGGTGGTGGCACCAAGAAGTAATGATTTTGGTGGCACTCCCAACAGGCTCGTTTTCGCGGAGGACTGCACCTTGAAGCCAGCCAGCAGTTTTCTAATCTGGCGAACTTTATGTGGCTTGTTTGGTTGCAGTCGCTCTTCTCTCGTGTTTGTGCGGACATCCAATCCTCCAGCGATCAGCGTGGCCGACTGGATGTACGGGGGACTTTCCGGATGGCTGTAGTCATGTTTATGGCATTGTTTGTCGGGGTCCTGGGCGACGCCTGTGTCCACAAGCAGAGAGGCCGCTTTTGACGGAGTGGAGCTGGAGACTGACTTCGCTTCTTGTCCCCGCAAATCTAAGTCCATTTCAGAGGCTGTGACTTTGTTGACGAGTGCACGGCTGCAGCCGTATCCTTTGATACGGAGATAGGCGTTGATAGCTCCACGTACCTTTGGCGCTGCTTGCATGGGGTTTCGCCTCCTCCAGGGCGTCCCTGCCTTTAGTGGACGAGAGGCCTGTGGTGGTCGAATAAAAGCTGCTATCCGGAGACGCAGCTGGTTTCGCCGGCCTTCTTTAGGAAGCACAGGGAGACATGACCACAATCGGCTTGGTCATGATTTTAGGGTCGGCTAAATTGGTGCCCAGCGGAAGCCTGTTTCGTGCCTCCACCCCTAACCTGTTGTGACCGAGCTTTCGCGCCTCTAAAGGGCGATCCTCAGATAGACGCCCGACCATTGTGTTGGCCTTCTGAATGCTGCCTGCTCGCTCCAAGATCTTCTGTGCGTCAGATGGGGAAGAAAGAGTGACGAGAAATCCAAGCGTTCGCTTGCTTCCCTTCGGGCATGACCATTCTGCATGGAGCGATTTGTCGGGCTTGGTGAGGACATTCCTAAGGATTGATGGTGCCAGCTTCACTGGCATGGTTCTTCCGGTGAATGGACCCCAGATTGTCAATCTTCTTTCCCTTAGGCGCCTGCCCACTAGAGACGCTGTCGCGGTCTTTTTAGCCGCGTCAGGGAGGTGTATTACTTTCTTCACAGCCATAGGGCCCGGTATGAATATCGCGAAGTATTGGTTCAGTGAAGAAAATTCCTTGTTATCTTTCTTCCAGATCGCTGCATTCTTAGCGCCTGGATCCTCCAGTGCCTTTGAAAGACGCTCTAATTTCGCGTCGAGTATCCCGATTAAAGCGGAACACTGGCAGTAGTCTTTCACAATCTGCATTGGAGATTGGGTACCGTTATGAGGGGCTTTGCTGTTGGCCGGGGTATGCATTGCACCCTTAAATTAGAGGCATCTGGAGCAGACAAACGGGTCAGGGGAGTTAGCTAGTTGGCCTATCTGGTCGTCCTGTAAACCCATGCATTTGAAATGCCACCGGGCCTTGAATGTTTGGTATTGCATACCGCGTTTGACGTTCAACGGGCAGCCATTTCGTCCACATCTGCTGTGGTCCATCAATGGCTGCAGGGGGTAATCGGTTTATGCCACCAAATTCTCCATGACAAAAGTTTTCAGTCGATACTGCTCACTCCTATTTGGGCTGAATGAACTGAACAGTTAACGGGTGCGAGCAACCCGTTTGATTTCTGCTAAGGCGTAATTAACCGGGCGTCCGGCACATGTGGCGTTCGTGAGAATGAAGGTAGAATTTTGTATCCACAAATCAGACA